AGGGGCACCTTGGTAAAGGGGTGGGAGCGAACGCGTTTACTTCCATTACAGAGCCCGGGGCTGAGATGGATTCTCTCTCCATCATTGTCCTAAGCACATTATCCCTGAAAGAAAGAGGGTTTCTCTGAATCTGCAATTTTTCTAGACTTCAGTGGTATTGAAATGAAACCGCTTCAAGGATATCTACATTCTTTACCATCGTATGGATTCTCATCTCATGTAAATTATTTGGCCACTTTTCATTTTAATCCTCCACTGTCATTTTCTACAAAAGAGATCATTTGGTTTCTTCATTGAAGGTATTCAGCTGACAGCTGCCCTTTGTCTAGAAAGCAGTGTGCCTTTGCAGGATTTACTTGTGCCTTTTCTTTTTTTTTTTCTTTTCCTTTTACGTTCACATTGCTTCGTATTTTTCATGTGTAGTTTTCAGAGCTTTTTGGATTGTGAACAGCCTGGCGAGCTGTGAAGAGAAATTCAGGCATCCTGGCCCTTAGCAAGAGTACACCTGACCGATAAGTAACAAAAATAGAGGCAGATTAATGAAATTTCCTGCTTGCAAGAAGAATTGTAGTCAGAAAATTCACAGTGTGTTCACAAGTCCTGCACGAGCCAACCAAAACAGTCAGTGAGGAAGTCTTGTATTTCTTTCCAGGGCTTCCCTATCTTGAAAATTCAGTTATTCTCACCTGCTTCTCGGAAATGTTGGGAGGCTTTAAGTGTTGGGCTCTGTCTGTATCGCCCACCAGTCCCATGGGCACCTCGGAATAAGTGATGGGAACGAAAGGTGAACGTGCTGGTGGAGCGCGTGGACGGAGAATTGGGAGGCAAATCAGCTGTCGCAGTTGAGGTTGTGTGGTTTTGGTCACCTGTAGTTATGAGAACTTTTCCTTTTAGGCTGAAGACTCCTGAGTATTGATAAAACCAACTTGTGTTCTGTCAGAGGCTTAAAGCACAATATGGCAATGGAGAAGAGTGTTAGGAGACGGTGAGAAGATGCAGTTTTAGGGAGCACGAGTCGAGGGTCGGGCAAGTTCATGGGTGAATTGAATGTGGGAGGGAAGGAGGAGGCACATCGTTAATGTACGTAAGGAATAAGGCAGCAGGTAAAAAGAGATGCAGGTTCTAAAATTACTTTTGTCAACTACAGAAACCAAATTTAGTAACTCCACGAGTGTCCTTCCAGCTCCCCCTTAGCTTTTTTGATCTCATAGAACGCATTGGGCTGGAAGAGACCTCTAAAGGTCATCTAGTCCAAACCCCCTCCATGAAAATGTCTTATTTACCAGGAGAGCTGCCTGAAACTTCTCAGATTTTTGTGGTTTTCTTCATAAAACAGGGTTTCAGGATGAAAAGAAGTTCAGATTTTCAAGTGGGAGTCACTTCTCTTGTAGGAACTTTTAGATATTTACATTAAAAGATCAGAAATTTGTGTTAGAAATTAAAGAAAATGTTTCAGAACATGATGAAAAATATGGTTTGATCCAGTCAGATGAATTTTTTTATAGCTTATTGAGCTGTAAAATGGATAAAGATAAGAATTACTGTTTCAGCAGCGAGGTTTTTGCCTATATCACAAAAGTGACTCGGCCACACAAAGAAAACTTCCTCGCTTGCCCGGTCTCGTTCACCATCCAGTTTGCAAGTTAGCTCCGTCGCAGGGAGTTTTCCTGTTATCTCAGAGAATTATAAACTTGAGCCTAAAGTTTGTTATTATTGGAAAATGTGGGTTTTTTTCCTTGAAGCCAGCAGAAATGAATGGCAGTCAGTGGCTTGCTAGACGAATAGCGTTGGGTTACGGGCCGAGAGAAGGCTCAGTAGTGGCTCCTGTGTTGTCTTTTCTTCATTAATTGGTGTCTCCATTTCTTGTGTCAACATAAGAATGGGCGGTTCAAGTATCTACCATTTCCTTCTTTTACATATTTTGTGATTTCTTCCATGAGGTTAGGCATTGCCTAGTAGTTCTGTGACCACAGACTATCTAGATCCATAATATCACGTGATGTGAAGGTTTCACCTTCTGCTTTTAGTACATCGCTGTGTAGGTTTGTCGGGTTTTCTAATTTTATGAGGTTTCTTTCGTGGCATTCGTTCGTGACTTTTAACAAGTACCTGTAAAACAAAATAACATTCAGCAAAGGGAGTCCGTAAAATAGCTCCTGTGGCTACCAAAATTCGGTGAGTTAATTTTTTGTACGCGTAACGATGACCTGGATTCCTGACTCGGACTCCAGGTCATACGATAAGAGTCATGTAAATAATAGTACAGAGGTTTCCAGCTGTGACGTCTTGACATTCCTTTATCTCGTGGCACTTCAAAGAGGAAATAGTTCTTGGCTCTGGGCAGAGAGTGGAGTGTTCTATTTTGTAGCTGAGACACTGGCATGAGGCAGTTGGGCTGGGATCCTGAGCTTCTGCTTCCATCACTAACTGAAAGAAAAAAACCTCATTTTCTGGCCTGTTTTCTAAGCTCTCCATTCTCAAAAATAAAAACCTTTGTGTAGAACGCAACCCCTTTGAGCAGAAATTTTCAAGTTAAGATAGACACACGTATCACTTCAAAGGCTCTGACAATGGAAAGGATGATAGATGTGGAAGAGGAAAGAGTATACGTAAAGAAAATACCATGCCCGGAGGCTGTGTGTGCTGTTGGGAGGCAGAGAACTAGAGGAAAATCTCTTTTTGTAATTCAGAGCACGTTCCTGCTGGTGGCAGTGCTGGCGTTGACGGTGCTATGTACTTGAAGAAAGTGAGTGTAACCAGGTGTCCCTCTCTCCACATCTTGTGGCAAAATCTGTTTTTTTCACAGTAGGATCAAGCCCAGTGGGAGCTGTGGTTGTGGTCAGTCTCTCTGGATCATAGAATCATAGACTGGCCTAGTCCAACCTCCCTGTCATGGGCAGGGACACCTCTCAACTAGATCAGGCTACTCAAGGCTCTGTCCAACCTGGCCTTGAACCCCTCCAGGGAGGGGGCAGCCACAACGTCTCTGGGCAATTTATTCCAAAGTCTTGCCACCCTCGTACTGAAGAATTTCTTCCTAAGGTCCAATCTAAATCT